CGTAAAAGACCTATACAAAAAAAAAACTACAAGACACTACTGCAAGAAACCAAAAGAGACCCACATGAGTGGAAAAACATACCTTGCTCATGGATAGGAAGACTCAACATTGGGAAAATGTCAATTCTACCCAAAGCCATCTACAGATACAATGCAATCCTGATCCAAATTTCAACGGCATTTTTTAAGGAGACAGAGAAACAAATCACCAACTTCATATGGCAAGGGAAGAGGCCCCGGATAAGGAAAGCATTACTCAAGAACACCACTACCTCACACTACCTGATTTTAGAACCTAGTATACTGCCACGGTAGTCAAAACAGCCTGGTACTGGTACAAGAACAGATACATACAGCAATGGAACAGAACTGAGAATCCAGACATATATCATCCACCTATGAGCCTCTGATATTTGACCAAAGGCCCGAAGTCCATTAAATGGGGAAAACACAGGTTCTTTAACAAACTGTGCTGGCATAACTGGATACCCGTCTGCAAAAAACTGAAACAAGACCCATAACTCACACCATGCACAAAAACTAACTCAAAATGGAGCAAAGACCTAAATATAAAATCGAAAACGATACAGATCATGGAAGAAAAAATAGGGACAACTCCAGGAGCCCTAATACATGGCATAAACAGAATACAAACCATAAGTAACAATATACAAACACAAAAAAGAAACTAGATAACTGGGAGCTCCTAAAAATCAAACACTTATGCTTATCAAAAGACTTCACCAAAACAGTAAAAAGACAACCTACAGACTGGGAAAAAAATTGTGGGTACGACAAATCTGATCAGGGTCCAATCTCTACAATCTACAAGATACTGCAAAACCTCAACAACAAAAAGACAAATAACCCAGTAAAAAAATGGGCAAAGGATATGAACAGGCACTTCACCAAAGAAGACATTCAGGCGGCTAACAGATATATGAGGAAATGCTCACGAATATTAGCCATTAGAGAAATGCAAATCAAACTACAACGAGATACCGTCTCACCCCAACAAGGCTAGCGTTAATCCAAAAAACACAAAATAATCAATGTTGGAGAGGCTGTGGAGAGACTGGAACACTTATTCACTGATGGTGGGAATGTAAAATGGTACAACCACTTTGGAGATTGATTTGGCACTTCCTTAAAAAGCTAGAAATAGAAGTACCATATGATTCAACAATCCATTCCTTGGAATATATCCTGAAGAAATAAGAGCCATTTCACAAATAGATATATGCACATCCATGTTCACTGAAGCACTATTCACAATAGCAAAAAGATGGAAACAACTACGTGCCCATCAACTGATGAATGGATAAACAAATTATGATACGTTCACACAAGGGAATACTACGCAGTGATAAAGAATAACGATGACTCCGTGAAACATCTCATAACGTAGATGAATCTGGAAGGCATTATGCTGAGTGAAATTAGTCGCAAAAGGACAAATATTGTATGAGACCACTATTATAAGAACTCAAGTAAAGGTTTAAACACAGAAGAAACCATTCTTTGATGATTATAAGGGTGGGGAGGGAGGGAGAGGGTATTCACTAACTAGATAGTAGACAAGAATTATCTTAGGTGAAAGGAAGGACAACACACACTGCAGTGGAAGTCAGCATAATTGGACTAAACCAAAGCTAAGAAGTTTCCTGAATACAACCAAATACTTCGAGGGACAGAGTAACAGGGGCAGGTGTCTGCGGAGCATGGTTTCAGAAGGCATCTAGGTCAACTGGCATAAGAAAGTTTATTAAGAAAATGTTCTGCATCCCACTTTGGTGAGTGGCGTCTGCGGCCTTAAAAGCTAGAGAGTGCCCATCTAAGATGCATCAATTGGTCCCAACCCACCTGCAGCAAAGGAGAATGAAGAACACCAAAGACACAAGGAGAATATTAGTCCAAGAGACAGAAAGGGCCACATAAACCAGAGACTCCATCAGCCTGAGATCAGAACAACTAGATGGTGCCGGGCTACCACCAATGACCGTCCTCCTGACATGGAACACAACAGAAAGTCCCTGACAGAGCAGGAGAAAAGTGAGGTGCAGAACTCAAATTCTAGTAAAAAGACCAGACTTAATTATCTGAGTGTGGAAGGACTCCGGAATACACGGTCCCCGGGCTGTTAGCCCAAAACTAAAACCACTCCCAAAGCCAACTCTTCAGAGAAAGATTAGACTGGAGTATAACACATAAAATGATACTCGTGAAGGGTGTGCTTCTTAGCTCAAGTAGATACGTGAGTCTAAATGGACAGCTCCTGTCCGGAGGCGAGATGAGAAGGCAGATAAGGGACAGTAGCTGGTTGAATGCACACGGGAAATCCAGGGTGGAGAGGAGGAGTGTGCTGTCACAGTATGGGGAGTGCAACTAGGATCATACAGCAGTGTGTATATAAAGTTTTGTATGAGAAACTAACTTGAAGTGTAAACTTTCATTTAAAGCAAAATTAAAAAAAAATAGTTGAAGATATTAAATCACATTGAATGAGCTAGGCAAATTTTCCAAAGAATTTTAAAATAAATGTCTTTTTAAAGGCATGAACAGTACATGTTTTATTCCTAAAAGGTGGTGCAAATGGGAGAGGCAGCGAATCACTTCTATTAGTCTGTAGAATCACCTATTGATAAGCTTCTATGGGCCAGGTACACTGTTGGGCATTTGACCTATTTTCTCATAATATTCTCATGTTGTGGCTGTTGTTAGGTTTCAACTCATACCGACCCTGTGTACAACAGAATGAAACACTGTCCAGTCCTGGGCCATCTTCACAATCGTTGCTACGCTTGAGCCCATCCTTGCAGACGCTGTGTCAATCTATCAGTCTATCTCGTTGAGGTTCTTCCTCTCTTTCAGTGATGCTCTACTTTACCAAGTATGATGTCCTTCTCCAGAGATTGGTCCCTTCTGATAACATGTCCAAAGTACACAAGGCGAAGTCTCGCCATCTTTGCCTCTAAGGAGCATTCTGGCTGTAGTTCTTCCAAGACAGATATGTTCGTTCTTCTGGCAGTCCATGGTATACTCAATATTCTTCACCAACATTGTAATTCAAAGGCATCAATTCTTCTTCGGTCTTCCTTATTCACTGTCCAGCTTTCACATGCACATGAGGCGACTGAAAATACCATGGCTTGGGGCAGGTGCACCTTAGTTCTCAAAGTCACATCTTTGCTTTAACACTTTAAAGATCTGCAGTAGGTTTTCCCAATGCAGTACATCATTTGATTTCCTGACTGTTGCTTCCGTGGGCGTTGACTGTGGATTGAAGTCAAATGAAATCCTCGACAGCTTCAATCTTTTCTCCATTTATCATGATGTTGCTTATTGGTCCACTTGTGAGGATTTTTGTTTTTTATATGTTGAGATGTAACCCACACTGAAGGCTGTAGTCTTTGATCTTCGTTAGTAAGTGCTTCAGGTCTTGTTCACTTTCAGCAAGCAAAGTTGTGTCATCTGCACATTGCAGGTTATTAATGAGTTTTCCTTCAATCTTGATGCCATGTTCTTCTTCACATAGTCTAGCTTCTCGAATTACTTTGCTCAGCATACAGACTGAATAAGTACTGTGAAACGATACAACCCTGAAACGCACCTTTCCTGATTTTAAACCATGCAGTATCTCCTTGTTCTGTTCGAACAACTGCCTCCTGGTCTACGTACAGCTTCCTCATGAGCACAATTAAGTGTTCTGGAATTCCCATTCTTCGCAATATTATCCGTAATTTGTTATGATCCACAAAGTCAAAAGCCTTAGCATAGGCAATAAAATACAGGTAATCATCTTTCTGATATTCTCTGCTTTTAGCCAAGATCCATCTGACATCAGCAATGGTATGTCTCGTTCCACGTCCTCTTTTGAATCCAGATTGATTATCTGGTAGTTCTCTGTCAACGTACTGCTGCAAATGCTTTTGAATGATCTTCATCAAAATTTTACTCGTGTGTGATACTGTTCGATAATTTACACATTCTTTGAAACGGGCATAAATATGGACGGGATGACATCAAGGACACCATATATGAAGAAAGCAAAAGGTCATTAAAAAGACAGGAAAGAAAGAAAAGACGAAAATGGATGTCAAGAGAGACTCTGAAACTTGGTCTTGAATGAAGGGCAGCTAAAGTGAGTGGAAGAAATTGTGAAGTAAAAGAGTTAAACAGAAGATTTCAAAGGGTGGCTCGAGAAGACAAAGTAAAGTGTTACAACGAAACGTGCAAAGAACTAGAGTTAGAAAACCAAAAGGGAAGAACACACTCAGCATTTCTCAAGCTGAAAGAACTGAAGAAAAAATTCAACCCTCAAGTTGCAATACTGAAGGATTCTATGGGCAAAATATTGAATGACACAGGAAGCATCAAAAGAAGACTGAAGAAATACAAAGAGTCATTGTACCAAATACACTGATCGACATTCAACCATTTCACGAGGTAGCATATGATCAAGAGCTGATGGTATTGAAGGAAGAGGTCCAAGCTGCACTGAAGGCATTGGTAAAAAACACGGCTCCAAGAATTGACGGAATACCAATTGAGATGTTTCAACAAATGGATGTAGCACTGGAGGCGCTCACTCGTCTATGTCAAGAAATTTGCAAGACAGCTACCTGGCCAATTGACTGGAAGCGAAAGATCCATATTTGTGCACATTCCAAAGAAAGGCGATCCAACAGAATGTGGAAAATTATTAACCAATACCATTAATATTACATGCAATATACGATTTAATGTTTCTTACAGTGATAATAACATTAAGGCAGATTACCATTACCACCAACCACACTTTTAAGAATAAAGATCGTTCCAGTATGGCCTTCTATTTATTTTCTGCTAATAAGCAACAAACAAAATCCCCTTACATTAGGTTTTGGTGCCTGCCACAATAGAAAATAAATAGTGGCAATAAACAAGCTATTACCGGAAAGCTCTAATGATGAGACTATTCAAGACAATTAATGACTCAAAACGCAAAAGACAAGATTTACCTTTAACTTATGTGATTCTCCAAGTAATGTTCCCTTATAATCTGTTGTATACGTCCAATCATATGGTTTAATAACTTCTTTAGAGTGTTCACCCTCCGTCCTCAAATACCAAAATAAGAAGGTCAGATTCAGTGATGCAGAATACAGATGATCTGTGTTCATATATCACACCAAATTACATTCTACAAATAATATGAAATACCTACTAAACACATATACTTGTCATAATTCGCCAGTACAACATCTTAAGAGTTTTTCTGTGCATTTACTGTTATTTAACTTGTCATGTGCTGATGTAGTCTCTCCAATTACACTGTATACTGCCTGAGGATACGGTTTAAAGGCTGATAGTTCCCTGAATCCTTCGAGGTACCTAGTACATAAAAGGTACAAAGTAAATAGTTGCTGACCTGATTATTCAAAAAATATATTTAAAAAAATTTCAATGCTCCTCAAATTTTTAATGTAAACCACAGGTAAACATTATTTTTTTTCAAAATCAGGAACATTATAGTATACAGTGTACTTGCCTATTCACTAGAGAATACCAAATGCTTGAAAAAGTAAGCTACGTAGCTCAGCGTAATTGTAATTCAATTCAGCAAGTATTCAAATAGTAGGATAACTAATCTCCATTTAATGTATGAAAACAATCTAGAATGATTTAACGATAAAGTTTAATAATAATAACACTAGCCCTTCATTCTAACAAAATACACGCATCATGAATATTTCTTTTAACCTTTTTCTTTTTTGTTTAACCCATAACTGCCCAACTTCTCACCTGCTTTCCTGCCACTCTTCAGCACAGGCTACCTTAAGCATTCCTTGGTAGTTGTTTACACATCTTAAAGCATCTGTAGCATTGAACTCAATTCCAAAGCCAGAGCCATGCTGGATTCTCAAAACGTTGTCTCCAAACATCATTTCAGGGAGAGATGGCATATGCAATTCATCAGCTAACCTACATATAACCAAAAGTCGGGTAAGATTATTTTATGTCACTCTTGGCACTTTTGTTTTCTTTTCATCCCAACATAATCCTTCCTACATTACTGAATGAGTTAAATATGTAATTTAACAAACATGAATATATTTGTGAAGTATATAAAATACTTTCATTACCTATTCTCTCCATGTATATCTTTACAGACTGTACTAGGTACTGTGCTAATAAGACAAGGAAATATATAAATAAATACATAATATAGTGTCAGCTAGCAATAAGTGATACAAGGAAAAATAAAGCAAAGTAAAAGTGGCAGGGCAGGGGGAAGCTATTTTAGGAAGAATGGTCAAAGGTCACTTCTCATATAGTAAAATTTGAGCCTCAAAACTACCGTGTAAGCTAAGAAAGGCTCAGAGAGTTTATATTGCTCATTTAAAATCAAAGAGCTAGTAAGTGAAAACACCAGGCCTTTTTCCATTATCCTAGACTGCTTTATATAACTGGGCCCTAATTAGTCAGCCTCATTAAAGAAGAAAGTTATACTAGATACACTATAAGGTCAGGATCACAAATTGTTAATCCAGAGGTATGTTTTGATTGGTCTGTACAATATTTAAAAAAAAAAAAAAAAAACAACAACTATCTGAAATAGTTCCCAATAGCTACTGAGAGATTAAAAAAAATATAAAACCCCATTGCTGCTGAGTTGATTCCGAGACATAGCGACCCTACAGGACAGAGCAGAACTGCCTCATAGGATTTCCAAGGAGCGTCTCGTGGATTCGAACTGCCAACCTTTTGGTTAGCAGCCGAGCTCTTAACCACTACACCACCAGGGCCCCAACTGAGAGATAGCTGCCAATAAAAATTGAAAGATTTTATATAATGTGGATTTCTGATGTATCTTAAAAAACAAACAAAACTGGAAGACTTGGCAACACTGGACCTGCACTCCAATTGGCTGGAGCTGAGCAGAGGTCACCCCGAGTAAGGTGTGGGCTCTCTACTTTTCCTTGGCCCTTCAGAAAATTGAGTTTGTAAGCCCTGTTATAAAGCTTTTAAATGGCTGCCAGTTACTGACTTTTGAAATAAGTTTCTATACGTACAGGTTACCACGCTTTGAGCTGTATAACCCCATCACATCTGTACAACCAGGGCTTCCAACTGAGGAATGAAAATCCAGTATCTCAACCAAAGGCAATTACCTGTGGGCTGGTCTGAACCCCTGAATCTTAGCCTGAGAATTCTGCTCAATATGCTCATGTTGAATTCAATAACGATCGATTAACTCACTCTAGATCATCTGTTTTCAGAAGTCTGAATGCCAACCAAGTGACACACAGCCCAAGAGACACAGAGAAAGAAGGCATGAAAATGAAGCCATGAGGCAGAGAGGAGGGAAGAGTACTGTTTAAGTAACAGCAACAGAAGCAGACAGAGCAAAGCAAAGACTGAGAAATAACAATAACAAGAAGAGTAGAGACTTCTATAGTTTAGGTGGCCGCAAGAACTGCTAACTATTTTCTAAGATAATTCTGGTGTTATTTCCTCATGTAGTATTAAATTCCCATTACCTAAGGCAGCCTGGGTCTCTGTTCCTTGCAACCTGAAAACAAAAATCTAACACAGAGGTTCCATGGAAGGGAATTTTCCAGTTTACCTTATATACCCAATTTTTTATTTTATTGATTTTGGAAGCTTCTCAAAATGATTTATAGACTTTGCCGCATTCTTAAAACAGATAATATAAAAGGGTATTTTACCTTTTATTGATGATCAGAGATTATCACATTTAACAATCATGTAGGACAATGTTCTCAAGTTCAATTGAGTGTGTACACCTCTAACTGCTACAGAACGTAGGTAGCTGCCCCTGAAGCATGCCTCATCCCTCTAATTTTTGTTTCTAATCTATTATAGGCTGAAAAGCCAATTAATCACACTTCTTAAAATTGCATAATGAATAAAAAGAGAACATGAAAAATAATTTATTCATTAGGGTGAAGGGATTGTAGGGAACTTCTTTTCTTTCTTACATTTCCAATAAGGTTACAATAAGTGCATAATAAAGTCAAAAGTTTCAGTACTTTCTGAGTAAAGTACTACCCAAAAAGACCACACCCATTGCCATCGAGTCGATTCTGACTCACAGCAACCCTATAGGACAGAGTAGAACCGCTCCATAGGATTTCCAAGGAGCAGCTGATGGATTCTAACTGCCAAACTTCTGGTTAGCAGCCAAACTCTTAACCACTGCGCCAAAAGTGCATAATAGAGTCAAAAGCTTCAGTATGCTCTGAGTGAAGTACTAAAGGACCCTGAATATAGTCCAGGATTTTTAGTGGAAGTGCTCTGTCTCAGCTACTTGAACGGATCAAAAGATTTTCTTTCCTTTTCTTATTTTTAAGATTTCTGGATTTTTGAATAGCTATTCAGCTATAATTAGTAGGGAAGGGAAGGAGCCCTCGTGGTGTAGTGGTTAAAGTACTTGGCGGTTTGAACCCAACAGCCGCTCTGCAGGAAAAAGATGTGGCAGTCTGCTTCCGTGAAGATTACAGCCTTGGAAACCCTACAGGGCAATTCTACTCTGTTCTATAGGGTTGCTATGAGTTGGAATTGACTCAACGGCAATGGGGTTTTTAGTAGGGAAAGTAAAATAATATTAAAAAATATATTCTTATATCAAGACAACAAATGATCCATGTATATCTCAAGTCCACAATTACACTCCTTCCAATTGATTTCAATTCTATTTCCAATCTGACTCACCAAACAGCTCTTTCGTGCATCTGTATATATAAACAAACACACATATAAAACAAAAAACCCTACGTGACTAAATTAAACAATTTAGGCTTTAGATGTAAAAAATACTGATCATCAAAGACCCATCACTTTGAAGAATAAAGATGAGTTCTAATTCCATTATAACTGATGAGGACATGGCTTAATGTACCAATGTACCATAGTCCCATGTTCCCATAGCCTCATACTTCTGGCAAACTTTTTATTCGCACATAACAACTGTATTAACCACAGCTATAAAGAAAAACAGTAATTAAAGATCCTGTTGCTTGTATGAAAACAATGAACTTATCCAATAAAATTTCAACTTGTTACAAGCTTCAAAAGGTAATAATGAAGAAAGCTTAAGTGCTCAACACTGGTAAGGTGAGGGAAACCAGCACTTGCTCATGTGGATTTCCAGAAGGATTGCGCCAATTTATATTCCATTTTGCGGCAGCAATTAAGCAATAAGTACCAAGAATCTAACCAAATCTAGACTCTTTAACACAAAATATCAGCTTTGGGAAGCCTGTCCTAAATAAGTGATCCAAAATGCAGGAAAAAAAAAATCTATATACATTAATATTCATAACAACCTTATTTATAACAGCAGTAAAGAAATATTCTGAATATACACTTACACAGAAATAAATGGTTACATAGAGTATATCCATAGTATGAAATATTCTGAAACCATTAAAAATGTTAAAAGAGCTAATGTAATAATGTGGGAAAAAATGCTCAGTTTTAAGGAAAAACAACGGGACACATTGTATATTTATTACATCTGTGTGTGTGCATGTATACGTGCACATATCAGTGATCTAACATTTTTGAATTGTCCATCTTTAGGTTAACGTCTAATACTAATTTCTGACCATAAATTTACGTAAAATTGATTCCTTGTTATTAGGAGATAGAAAATATTAAATACTTGTAACATTAAATAAGATGAAGATTGATTGTAATTAGAATATTCCATAACTTGATAAAATAAGTTTTTACTACTTTACTGAATAATGCACAGCAATAAGAAATAATATAAAATGTGGTTCTGTGGATTTTATCCAATGTACTCGGAAAAATCTGGTTGTCCTGCAAAATACTCCAGTTACATATGTAAAAGAATCAGTGTTACTAACTTAACATTGCTTCAAATGTTCTAAATTCAGAGTATCTTAAACACAGGCCAAAATACCCTATTTTTAATGTCAAGCAACACTCTTAATAGGTTGCTGTTGGCAATTCTGACTCACGGTGACCCCACGTGTGCAGAGCAGAACTGCTCCACAGAGTTTTCAAGGCTGTGACTTTTCAGAAGCAGATCGCCAGGCCTGTCTTCTGAGGCACCTCTGGGTGGGTTCGAAGCACCAACCTTTCAGCTAATAGTTGAGTGCCTAACCATTTGTGCCGCCCAGTGACTCAACAAATAAGTATAAGGCAGGGAAAGAAGGAAAACCCTTATGGGTTTAAAATGCCTTAAACATTCACTAAACGATGCTTCCTCAAACCAGTATTTTACCTAATAATTTATTTAGCACTCTAGAGGCTTTTATACCCTAGAGCAGTATACCACAGAAAAATTTAGAATGGGTGAGGCTTAGCCTTTCTTTTGTCATATGGAAGGAAGATGAAGTGTATTCAGGTAGATCTATTTTAGAAATAATACAAAAGGAAGTTAAAGATCTGGAATTTGAATTCCTTAAAACTCTCTATGGATCCAGCCCCCCTAGGAGAGTCTGCAAGTAAATTATACAGACATCTCAATTTAAAGCTGGCTACTTTACATACACTACAACTATGTATGGTGTAATATATAACAGAGAAAGTAACTCAAAGAGTAACTCAGTCTGTAGTAGGATGCAGATGAATTTTTTTTTCCCCTTTCTTTTCTGTATTTTCTTAATAAGTCTGCAAGAATACTACAATTTTTTTTTTCTTTTAAATTAGGAAGCCAAAACATCCTGTCACAACTCCCTTCCCTGGTAACCTCCCTCCACCAGAATCACAAATGTGGATGCTCCCTAGAGTTCCGTCTCAGGACCTCTTCTTTTTCTTCTGGATGATTTCCAGATGATCTTACTCACTCCCAAGGCTCCAGGTACCAACTATAAATTCATGGTTCCCAAACCAAAACTCACAGGCAACTCATCTTTTTTGAGCTTCAAAATATCCAAATGCCTACTTTATGACCACACATACTTCACATTTCACTACTGTTATGAATTGTGTCCCCCCAAAAATATGTGTTGTAAATCCTAACCTCTATGCCTGTGGTTATAATCCCATTTGGGAATGGGTTGTCTTTGTTATGTTAATGAGGCAGGATTAGGGCTGGGTGTGTTTTGAATCAATCTCTTACAAAATATAAAATAAGCAGATTAAGCAAGCAGAGGTGGGGGAAGATTGATGCCAAGCCACATGGAAATCTCCAAAGAACCAGAACACAGAAGCTGAAGAGACAAGGACCTTCTCCCCACAGAGAGGAAGCCTTCCCCTAGAGTTGGCACCCTGAATTCAGACTTCTAGCTTCCTAAACTGAGAAAATAAATTTGTTAAAGGCATCCACTTGTGGTATTTCTGTTACAGCAGCACTAGATAATTAAGACAAGTATTTTCAAAACTAAAGTTATTCTCTGTCCAACTGCTCTCTCACCCTATCCCCCAATCTGCTCTTGTGTTTCCCACTTTGTTTAATGGCAATAATATCCATGCAATAGCCCAAGCTGGAAATCTAGACATCAGTATAGATTCCTTCCCTTTCTTTTCTTCTCCTAGCAACTGGCCATCAAGTTCAGGAACTAATCTCCTAAAACTTCTCCACTGTCTCCTGCTATCTAACTGGTCTCCTTACCCAGTCCTACAGCCCTCCAGTCCATCCTCCACATCACCTCCATAACAATCTTTCAGAGTGCACATCTGATAATACCAACCTTCTAGATAAAATTACATACGGTGGTTATAACATGGAGCCCTGGTGGCGCAGTGGTTAAGAGCTCTGCAACTAACCAAAAGGTCAGCAGTTCGAATCCACCAGCCGCTACTCGGAAACCCTACGGGGCAATTCTACTCTGCCCTAGAGGATCGCATGGACGGCAATGGGTTTGGGTACTTTTTTTGTTTTATACATCTCTATCATAAAGTTATTCACACTGTCTCGTAAATGTTTATTTGTCTCTCATGAGACTATGAAATCCTTAAGGTAAAGGCCGTAATTCATCTCCTGCATCTTAAGAGCCGGGCAGGGTACATGATATGCTAAAAACTAAACATTTATAGCATCCCCGTTATTAGCCCCCGGAGTCCTGGTGGCTGGTAGTTAAAAGCTCAGGCTGCTAACCAAAAGCTCGGCAGCTGGAATCCACCAGCCGCTCCTTGAAAACCCTCTGGGGCAGTTCTACTCTGTCCTATAGAGTAGCGACTCTAAGGCAACGGTTTGTTTTTTTTGGTTTGGAATTAACCCCCAAGGAAGCAGGCCACAGCCATCCAGACAGAAATGGTCCAAAGGTGGCACATGCTCAGATAGGAAGAGACGTTCAGTGAGGGGAAGGTCCACCAGAACAGTCATGCTCCACTCACAGCCAAGGCAGCGCCTGGCGAACCTCAACAGAAGGTATGGAGGTGGCGATATGATTATCTAACATGTTGTCATTCAAAGATCCTGTCCTAGGGGATCGAGCCTACGCCCCAGGTGAAGGAGTAGGGCCGCGCGGAGCTTGCCCTGCCTCTCGCCCTGGCCCAGCTCCCTGGCCCGCGCCCCCACCCGAGCACCGAAGCCTCACTTCTCCACATCCGCCGACTTCATGATGTGGGTCTTGGCAGCCGTCAGCTTCCAGGGCCCGAAGGAGAAGTCCTGGTGGCTGCTCTGGAAGCCGTGGATCATGATGGCTGAAGCGGGGCCCGCTGGGGCCACACGGAACAAGCTGGAGCTGCGGCGGCGTCCGATGCCGGTTCCTCCGCCTCCCTCAGGCCCAGCCCCCTCAGCTTCTGATCCGTTATCATGCCCAACCCCGCCCCCAGCCGGCCGACCGGGACACGGGGCCCTCCTTTCCGACTGCTTCTCCACCCCTTCGTTTTTGCTTCCGGGTCCAGTTGCTAATACTGCGTGACCCACGTCTTACGTCACGGCGCACCACGGGAAAAAAAGAGGAGCAAAGGCTGAGAGGTGGGACTTTATCAACAGGGAGTGTAGTCAAAGGTGCACCGCTCCCTTGTGCTCATTGGAAGGCGAGTCCAACATTGGATCCCTACAGACCTCTTAAAGCAACGTAATTACCTTTTGTGTTAGCGAATTGGTTTAATCAGGAAATGCCCAACATTTTCCAGTTGAGGCCAAAAAAAGTAATTCTTTACAGTGTAGGAGGTACAGCAACAAGTGATTTAAAAGTGGCCATCTAGCCACTATTGACTAAGACAGACTCCTGTCAAAAATTTCATTCTTCAGATATTCAAGGCTCCCCATGGTCTAGCTAGTCCCTGGACACCCGGTATAGTGGAAAGAATATTGGAGGCCCAGGTGCTAATGTCACTTTTGCAACTCTGTAGCTGTGCATCCTTGGCAAACCACTTAACTAATTATCTTTAGGCCTCAGTTTGTTTCTTCAAATGCGATAGTTTGGTGCTAGGTCTTCTCCCAAATCTACCTTTTCAGCCTTATTTCCAACAGTTCTGAACCCTACCCACCTATACTTGGCCCTACCTGTGAGCTCTAACTCTTTATTTTCTAGCCGCCTGAGTCATTCTCAAACCTGTCGTATTTTACACACAACCTAGCAACGTTTTAAAGATAGAGATCTCCAGGCCTAGAATAACCTGCTTCTCATTGATATACCACCTCCAAAAGGCTTTCCCCGGCCGTGTAGCTGGATTTAATCACTTCTTCCCCTGAGCCAACATGACAGTTTAAGTCAACTTCACTCATTCCAGTTATCACTGTCCATTCACTCATCCAAATGAACAGCAGAACAGAGCACCTGCTTTTTGCCAATCACAAGTTTTATCACAAAATAGTACTCTCATCCTTTCCTATAACAGAGATTGACAATGGAGTTCCAAGACATTGTTTTAGTGATACAAAGAGGGCTCCCTGCCCCTTAAAATGTCTATTTTCTATCTGTCCAATTTCATCTAAAATTTCAACTGCTTTTAGATAGGGTAAACAGATCACTGATTAACTCAATCAGTCATTTACATCTTAATGTAAATCATTGGGAGCCCTGGTGGCACACTGGTTAAGAGCTCATCTGCTAACCAAATAGTAAGCAGTTCGAATCCACCAGCTGCTCCTTGGAAACCCTATGGGGCAGGTCTACTCTGTCCTTTAGGGTCACTATGAGTTGGAATTGGGTTTTTGTTTTTCATTTTGGTAAATCACTTATTATATTATTTTCTGCAAGCTGGCCTTGATAGAGAATTGACAGGCCACCCTATCCAGACTGTGTACCCTATCCAGTGCTTTCCTACCTAAAATCCATTGCTGTTGAGTGGATTCCGACTCATAGCAACCCTATAGGACAGAGTAGAACTGCCCTATAAGTTTCCAAGGAGTGCCTGGTGGATTTGAACTGCCAATCTTTTGGTTAGCAGCCGTAGCACTTACCCACTATGCCACGAGGGTTTCCCTTTCCTACCTACCTTCCCAGAAAATTTGTCCCTAATTTTCCTAGACAAGATATGATGAAGATTACCTTTTATAGGGGTATTTTTATTTAAATATAAAATGTATCAGTTAAGTCTATTATCTCTATGGCTCCCAATTCAACAACTTACCAGATGACTTTAAGACTAGAATTCTTTGAGGATACAAAGAAATGAATTGCTAAAGGTACAATTTCAATTTCAAACATTAGAAAGATATTTGGACATTGGCTGGGTATTCTCAGTGCTTATTCAAGTACCATCATGTAACAGCATCTGCTTCGTAAAGCTGGTTCTTGGGATGGGAGTAGAGATACCTTGAGAATGCCTGGGACTTGAGGGAGGGAGGGAGATTAATTTTCAACCAAATTGGAATAGGAGGATGGTGCTACCAAATCAAACCATCCACTGTACAAGTTTGTCAAGATTCAGTGCTGAGAACAACCAACTGGCTATTATAGAAATTTGCTCATTCAGTAAATATTTTTTGGCAAGTTTTTTTTTTTTTTACCAGAAACTATTTTATCTATGAAGGAAGCACATAAAAGAACACTGAATAAAACAGGCAAGAACGCTTTTGTCTTCAGGCTACACTATAATGGAGAAGATAGGTAATAAACAAGTAAACACACAAATAAAATTTATAATTTCAGACATCGATAAATTCCGTGCAGAAACGTAAGCAAGTTAAGTGGAGAGAGTGTGGGGACAGACCGATATCGACAAAGTCATCAGAGGAGCTCTTTCCGTGGAGGTAACATTCAAGCATAGACCTGATGCTGAGAAGGAAAATCCATAAGAAAATCTGAAGGAAGAGCATTCCAGGCAGAGGAAGCATCAAGTATTCAGGCCCAGAGGAGGCAATGGGCTTGTCACATTTTAGAAAGACCAAGAAGGCCAGGGTGGCTGTAGTGGAGGGAACCGGGGAGAGTTCAGAGAGACAGACAGAAACTCAGTCATATCGATATTGTAGGCCATCCACACCCTTTCCTGAACAACCTTATCAAATGAATTCACAGTCTTTTAAAAGACATCTTTGTTAAGCAGAAAGTTACAGTTTGTAGATTGTCTATGCCATTTATGATTAGAATGTTCTCCCTTAGGTAAAGCTAAAATCTGCTTCCTTATTGCTTATATTATCTGAACCTGATCTTACCCTCTGAAGCACCATGGAACAAGTCTATTTCCCATTTCACATAACTGTTATTATTATAAAACAACTTTAATGCCTTGTCTTTCTCTTTTCATTCATCCATTCATCTGTCTGTCTATCTATCCATCCATCCATTATTTATTCAATGAATTTTTACATTTCTAAGGTACAAGTCATAGTACTTGGAGAAAGGCATTACAATGAGTAATATGAATAAACTATGATGATTGCATTATGCAAATGACACAACCTTGCTTGCTGAAAGTGAAGAGGACTTGAAGCACTTACTGATGAACATCAAAGACCACAGCCTTCGGTATGGATTACACCTCAACATAAAGAAAACAAAAATCCTCACAACTGGACCGATAAGCAACATCATGATAACTGGAGAAAATACTGATGTTGACAAGGATTTCATTTTACTTAGATCCACAATCAACACCCATGGAAGCAGCAGTCAAGAAATCAAAAGACACATTGCATTGGGCAAATCAGCTGCAAAAGACCTCTTTAAAGTGTTGAAAAGCTAAGATGTCACCTTGAGGACCAAGCTGCACCTGACTCAGACCATGGTGTTTTCAATTGCTTCATAAGCATGTGAAAGCTGGACAATGAATAAGGAAGACTGAAGAAGAATTGACGCCTTTGAATTGTGGTGTTGGTGAAGAATATTGAATATACCATGGAC